AGGAATCCTACTTCGCGGAATTTCATTTATCACGGTAGGGTCTAGAACAGATTAACCGTGATAAATGAGGGTTCACTGTAATCTGTAAAGACAATGCTTTAAACCTTACTTTAGTGAGGGGCAAATGGGGTCTTTCAAACTCACGAGTGGCTATTAAAGGTGCAACTATTGGTCTCTCCTAATCTGGAGCAAGAATGAGTGAAGAATATTGAAGACCTATGGAAACAACTAGTCCAATGGACTAATGGGCCACACGAACTTCAGCCTCCTCAACTCTGAGACCTGAAGAACTAGATGGGGCCCCGCTGCCGTTGCCAACTGCTCCAAAAGGGACCACAACAGAGGGTCCTGGATAGAATGAGAGCAAAATGTGAAACTCAAAATCATAAAAGAAAGACCAGATCAGAGAGAGACGTGTAGGACCGCTGAGATTCCGGCCTTGGATCACCCTGTGGGTCTGGGACTGAGCTCGCCTCTGTGGCTCGATTTTCAGCCAAACAACTGACAGGTCTATAAGGTGAAGGTAACCCTTGGGAAATACACACTCGCTAGAACGTTCAATCATTGGGAGCAAAGGGCAGCCTTCCCCCAGAGAAGGAGGTGGGAAAGGAAGGCTAGGAAAGAAGGAGGAAGGAGGAAGACCAACAGGAAACTTGAGGAGGAAGCGGGAAAAGCGAGGGTACATTGTGGACCTCGCAGTCGGTGGTGCGAAACAAAGTCTGGGATGACTTGCTAAAGGGACAATTGACTTGCTCTGTAAACCTGCACTAAATTCACAATGCAAAGTTAGAGGGAGAGAGAAACATTCGGATGTGCTTTTTAAGAACTACCTGCGTACCCCGAGGACCCTAAAACTGGAACCGTTGCCTGGGGGCAGCAGCAGCAGCAAGCCTTGAACGCATTCAAAGAAACTGCAAGGACACATGGCTGAGATGTTGCTGGAGGGGGCCAGTGGGGGCATCTGCACACCTGGGGGGAAGCTAAACCAGGTGATCTCAGAGCACAGGCAGCCCCACCAGTCTAAACCAAGGCTCCGGGACATGGGCCTCCAGGGCCTCCCCCTTGCCCAGCCTCTGCTCGGGCCTCAGCCCTGCCTGGTTCCTCCTCCCTCCCCAAGCAGCCAGCCCTCACCTTCCTTGCAGTCGTGCTTGTTGCCATGGAGAACAAAGCCGCTGCGACACTGGCACTCGTAGCTGCCGAATGTGTTGAGGCACTCCTGCTGGCAGCCACCGTTATCTTTGGAGCACTCATCCTTGTCTGCAGGGGCAAGCAAGGGCAGACCCCTGTCTGTGCGGGCCGGGGTCTGGAAGACCTCACGGGGAAGGAATGGCCTGGCTGGACTTCCTCCCCACTGGCGAGAGCAACAGCCCATGGCCTGTGGGCAGTGGAAGGCCCGGGTGGTGGGGCTCTCCGGGGGCGTGCGTCAGGCGAAACCAGCTGGAGGGGAGGGTGGGGTTGGGGGGCTGGCTGTAGGCTCCTGAGTCCCCACTGTGGGGAGAGCGAGTAGAGGGGATGGAGAAAAGGCTGGGGGTCTGGAGCTGCCCAGTGTGAGTTCCCTCTACCATTACCTGCTTACTGGACAGACGGACAAGTGGAAAAACAGACACACGGACAAGCAGACTGCAAGAGAAAGGAGCAGGACGCGGGGGTCCCTCTTTACTTGACAACAGGAAATGTCACAGACACCATCAAAATGGGGGGTGGGGGGGCCCAAAAGTCCCCTGTCCACGCCAGGGGACAGGGCAGCCAAGGAAAGCACCAGTTCTGTCGGGCCTGGAGGAGTAGGCCGGAAGGGCAGAGCAGAGGGGGGGTGGGCACCGAAGCCCTCCCCCACCCCCATCCCATTCCATCGGAGGTGAGGTTCCTGAGTAACAAAGGGTCCAGGAGGCCTGGCAGGCCTCATTGGGGGGTCCGGTTTCTTTTCTGCACTCGGAATTTGAGCTGATGGGGGCGTCCCCGAGGGGGCTGTAGAGCTGGCCTCTTTTCTGAAACGAGAGAGAGGAGGAGAAAAGGGACCAAGGGTGGGGGTGGAGGGCGGGAGC